TTACTGCCCTACAAATGGAACCCTTCTATTTTTGGGATACTTAAGAGTCCCCAGCTCAGCATGTCACTAGGTATGTACTTATCATGTGCCTGGCTGGGGCTGTCAGGCACACCTGGCTGGACCACATGTGGTGTGAGATTTGCAAATCACAGGCACAGTGCACACAGTTTTCCCTCCTACCCAAATTCAACTCAAAAAATTCCCAAACTGAGGCCTCCCAGGGAAGAATGCACTGCATAGTCTTTCTTTTGAAGGTGGTTAGCTTTAGTCCACTTACTAAGACCTACACTAATTCTGCACTCTTCATTTTAAGATGGATTCCTTCAGAAACAAGATTGCCTGAACACTGGCAATTTGTCCCCTCACTTTTAAACATTCAGGCTGCTTTCAGCTAAATTTGACAAAGGGGCAAGTATCACTGAGCTACTGAAATCCAACAAGCTCCACAAAAGACACAACCAGGCAGACAAGGGAGGTGCAAATTGGCACCCCTGTATAAGAAAAACTAATCCCCATAAAAACAATCACAGTGTCAGTTACTAGAGTTCTCATGGGGCAGAGAGATCTTATTGCAGCTCAGCAGTTCATAAAGCTTCAGACAGACTTCATTGCTAGTTAGTCACAGGGTAATGGAAATACAAGACACAACACGGTGAAAGCAATCATGCAGAACTGCCCCCATCTCACAGAAAAATTTATGAAAATAATTAGGATGTCACACAATGCTGCACGCCCTACAGCAATTGGAATTACCTTTACCAGCCAAACTTATTAAAAAAGATATCAGCCATACTTGATTAGACGTTTCCCCCACACCCTTTACTAATTTATATTGTATGTTATAAATTTAATGATTGTGCTCTCCTTCCTTCGCCCTCACCCATCACAACTTGACCCAGAACAGGAACCAGAATAACATGCTACCACTTCCAGGGTCATCAAAACAAGTGTGCCCTTGCATTTCTCATTCTTTTATTGCAAAAATTACACTATTCCCATGCCTGGTTCTCTCTGCCATATGAGTCAGGAGAATGAATCACCAAAAATGCTGTTGTCAAATGCTTTCTATGAATTATGTTCTGCACTGCAGTGGCTTGCTCTGCTCAGGACTTTCTGTTTATATTGGTATTTCTCCTCAGGATTGCTTTTAAAAAACATTGAAACAAAGTCTCACTGTCTCCAAAAGAGGGCAGCCCATTTTAAGTCATTTTAAGGCTTGTTTTTAATGGGCACGAAAATGAAAGTATAAGCCAGTTTGTTACAAGACTGATTTGGAAAAGTAACATCACCATATATGAGAACACATTCTGTCCATAAAATTTTATGATAAAATTATATGCAGATACTATAACTCAGCAACACCTCATGAGTGGGAGGGATATCAGTAAGGTCCAGGAACACAAATGTACCAACACACAATTTTAAGGAATATCATTCCTACCAGCTATATGCCTGTTGCTGCCTTTCTCACAATCTAGCTTCATTTCAAGGGCAATAAGGACACAATATTTAGAATTTGCTATCACAATATTTAGAATTTGCTATCACTCTTCTGTACTTGAGGTACAGAAGAGAAGCAAGTTGCTGATCTTTGGTGTACAAGTTTATGCTATTAATATTTTTTAGCAATTACAGGCAATTAAGAATTCAGTGCTGGTTTTAATCCCTCTGACCCTCACTGGGGTGGGAAATGAAGGTGCTGAGTGACCTAACTGAAGCTAATCTGTGCACCATACAAACCATGCAGACACCAAAAATAGACATCCTTGCTCATTATTTTGATACTGAATAATATAGAAGACAAAAAGATTGCAAAAAATGCAGAATCTAGAAATTAAAACTAGGTAGTTTTAGTCAAATAGTTTGAATAGTGAGAGCTCATGAAATGAGAAGTGCAGTACAGCAGAAGCCTGAGGATATCTGCCAGTTAATACTTCTTCAAAGCTAGTATTCCTTTCCAAAGATTTAAAATTTTAAAAATATTTTTTGAAGGTTGCATGCCTGTGACAGACAATTCATCCCACAGATAGAAATTTATTCCATTCTGTTCATCTTCAGCAGAATAAGAAGTCATCAGATTGCTCTCCGAAAGCTTGTATTAGATCCTCCATCAATTGCTCCTGGCAGATCAAAGCTAGATGACTTTCTTACAATATAGAAAATCGAGAATACCTGGATCTCTTTCATGCTGGAAGTCAGACTAGAGCATACAGCACCTCCCCTTCTTAGCATCTATGGAAAGTCCTTATCGCCCCTTTTTCTTATGCTTAAACAATATTAAAACTAGGTCTTAATGAAAATGGCTTCTTAAGATAATCAATTATTCTTTTAAACAATATCACCTTTAGACTGTCAGGGAAGAATGTAATTTCCCACCAACTCCACCAATGTTGTTTTTTTATAAAGACACTGAAACAGAGAATATATTATGAGAAAATAATTACATCAAGCCTTAGGAATGCAAAAATTGGAAAAATCAAAAGTGATAACATTTCCAGTGTAATGATTGTAAGAAGAACTGAAAATGGCATGAAGTATACTCATTCTCATGACAAAGGCTGTAATGCAAAAAAGTGCAAAACTAATCTGCCTCAGAAGTATGCGCTAGCTGTTCTTCCATCAATTATCTATTCCAATCATGTAAACAAGAGTTTCTGACTATAGAGTGAATCCACTCTGGCAGTTAATCCTGTTGTCTTGTAGTTCTCCGTGGAGACTTGAAGATACAAAGTATTATGGCCCTGTGTAGCAGGACTCAGATGCAGTCTAACAATTATACTCATCAAATCCTTGCCATGTGTGTATCTCCTTGGAGAGCACTGAGGACAAAAATCCTGTACCCTCCACATACCGACTTCATTCCAAGCCAATGTAGTAGCCGCCAGACTTGCAGATGTGTCTTACTCTTTTGCAGCTACCTCTACCAATCCAGTCTCTGCACAGCAGGATGCTGAACCGACAGCTTTAACTGTTCTCCACACTATCAGCTGCTTAGTGAAATGTTCTAGGTCATGAACATTTGCAAATTATGTGTCATAATGGGTTGTCTGAATTACCAAATAATCAGATTACACCTCTTTTTCTGAAAACTATGTACCTCGACTGATATAGAAATTAATATGCGATAAATATGATATAATCTTTCCCACCTGTTGGACTGTGGAATTCCCTCAGCTATTTAAAGTTTCTAAATGCCAGTCATTCTTCACTGTATTTTGGTTTTATTTGTAGTCTGGTGAGAACCTCCTTTTTTTCTAGCAAAAATATCTCTTTTGTGATCTCGTCTTTTCTTTCACCTGCCTTTTGTCACACAGACCTTTTAAGATTGACAATGATTGCTATTTCATTCCATCATTTGTAGCTGCTTTGAAATTAGCATTCCCGGTTGTAGAAATAAAAACCACCTCACATACTAACTTCAGAGTGTCCATTTATTTATAACTTGTGCATTTTATTCCTTCCCTACTAGGTATCTTCTTAATTTGGGTGTCAACTACACAAAATTCCGTCACAGAAGAACTTTTCATTGTATAGTGTTCCAATCAAACAGTAAGGCACAAAAGATTTTTATAGACAGTACACTGTATTTAATATATGTGGATGTGAAAGATTTTGTATATAAACAGCTTTTTAGCCCTAAGTAATATATTTCTAGAAATATTTTCTTACAGAACTAATATCTTCTCAATGTTCTACACATCAATGTGCTATTTCCTTTAAAATTATATGTATTTTAATATTATAATAATCTTTACACTAAAAGCCTTTTCAATGCAATTAACAGTTTAGCTTGTCATGTCTTCTAAAGAAATATATCTGACAATGTGATTCCAAAATACAGATTTCAGACTACAGTATTCCTTTGTGCAGAATAGATCTTAATATACTCACAGAACCACCACTTAAAGAGTTTAGGAGATGAAACATTTTCTACCCAAAGGCAACTGCATTTAAAAAAAAGAAGCAAAACATTTCCCTGATTCTGATTCAGTTACATGGAATTACAAAACAGCAGTAGATTTTTAGTTAGTTACAGATGGAAAAGAGCCTTTGTGATATCAGAGCGTGCAGAACAACTATTTCTTTTCCTCTGTAATTTTTAAGTCGCCAGTAAATTACAAGCAATTTCTCCCTTTTAACAGTCTATCCTCATTCATCACAATCAAGAATCTCACCACTTCACTTTTTTATATCCCTTTTCTCCCTTTGTGTATCTTTTCTTCATCTTTTAAGAAATAAGGTCTTGGCACCAAGAAAATTAATCTCTTCGTATGCTTTCCTGCCCTTGGCCACGTAAGACCTTCAGTCCTAGACAACTTCTCCAGGAATTATCTTTTCCTCAGATAATTTTATACATGTTAACACAACATTTAGCTATAAACATATATATGAACACACATACGCTTGGACCCATCTGTATTTACCCCTCTCTGAGCCAGCCTTGAGCTGACAACATATGCCTCCCGAACTAAGAGAGTGGGTTGAGGTTAAAGCTAAGACAGCCAGCATGTTCTTAGACATGAATTTGAATCATGGGAAGACACAGTTCAGTCTTCTTTAAAAAACAAAAACAAAAACACACAAAAAAAACATGCAAAATGCATTTTATTTAACACATTTCTTCAGATAAAGTGTTTGATCAGCTGAAGAATAGCTGGAACTGAAGCTCAAACATGCTGCAGTGTGGACTGCCTGAGGTCTGCCCTGACATAGTCTACCTGCCATGCAAGACTTGATCAGCTCAGTTACATGTGTGCTGGGTCCCACCCATGTCTCATGGCTATAGCAGGCCTATTGTTTTCATTCAGCTGCTTACAATCACTCATAAATCTGTCACGATTCTTAAGCACTTCTTAAATACAATTGTGGGAACAGAACTTCAACTTCCAAGCAATTTTGGTGGGGGTGGTGGGGGTGGAGGGTGGGGGGAGGGAGAGTGTGTTCCTGTGATCTCCTTGTACTTCTTTTCCACCAAGGCTGGTCATTCAGCAGCCAATATCTTTCATACAGATGCTTTAATAACCATAATCTTTAGAGCACAGGTGTCAGGTGAACAGAAGTTGTCTCAGATGAGTCTGCAACGTCTACTGGAGAGCAAGTCACTGGAATATAGACACATACAACAGGAACCCTTTTGTCTTCTCAGTGAGGAAACTGATAGTTCTGGATACAACTCAGGCAGCCACATTCATTCTTTCAGCAAGATAGACCAAGACAAAAGGAGATAAGGATGGTAATTTGTAGACTGTAACACTTAAAGACCTGGACACAAGACTAAGAGATCATTACACCAAGTCCTATTTGAACAATAGACAGCTCTTTATCAGAGGCATCCCTAATCCAGCTGTGAAATGGAACGGCACAGCTCAGCAGAATTTTTTTTCTTGGGGGGGGGGGGGGGAAGTCCAAAGAAAGCAACTGGATGTTCATTTTAAGCTTGCTGGGAAATGATCAACTCTTACAAGAAACCCAATTTGTGCCAAAAATTGTGGAGAAAGGATCATTTTAAGGTATGTCTTCAAAGAGGAGATATATTTCTACTGATGTTATAAACAGTTCATTTGGTAAATGTTCCTGCAACAGTGGGAGAATATAGACTAAGCACATTGTAGGCTGCTACCACAGGTGAACTGAAGACATGAATTGAATATGAACACAGGGTAGTCTTTCAATGCTGTAGCTAGAACAGGAAAAAAAAACCAAGTATTTTTATGGTCATAGGAAAAAATACAAATTTGCTCTTGAGAACAAGCATGGAGGGTCACATTTTCTGTTTACAGTTTCATAAAAAATCTTTTAAAAAGGACTTATCACAGCTTTAAAAAATATTGTTAGTATATTTCTAAAGCAAGACCTGAAATTTGGTTATGCATTTGCACTTGGGTACTTCCCAAATTGTGTATTTAGTGGTATCAATCAGGACGGTCCAGTGGATACAAGAGCAGCTTGGGATTCACGGACACTAGCCCTGGCTCTGTTTCCAGCTGATCTGGGTATGGCATTTCAAAGTCCTCTGCAAAGCAAGCCAGCTTCATTATTTTCAATGTTATTGCATGGAAGAATAAATTGTTCCAGTGGAAAAAAGTGATAGAGAGAAGGTACATATAATTACTAATTTTTATTAATTTTATGTGAAATACTCAGATTCAACTGATCAGCATTTTTCATGGATTTGTTTTAATTAGTAAAAAGGTGAAAAACATGCAGGTGAGCATTAACTGTTCCAGATGCAAGACTTTTTGATGTATTACTTCCAGAGCCCTGTCACTAGTAAACAACACAAGCAGAAAATGGGCAGACACTCAGGGCTGTATTTCAATGTGTTGGACTTTCTAATGATCAACCTTCTAAATTGTACCAATTCTTGAGAATGAGGAGCAGAACCTGTTTCTGTACATCTGAGATCCTTTGGGCTAACCATGATGACTATGCTGTAATGCTGAAGTTGCTCTTGCTTTGTGTCACACACCATTTCAACATTAAGAAATTTCAATATAACCTCAGTAATCACAGCCCTGCAGAGATCCACTGACAAACTAATTTGCATCAGATAGTTAACCTCTTTCTTAAATTTCCTATAGTCCTGTGGAAAACTGGTATTATTACCAGTCATCAATAAAGTGCTAAATAGTCACTGCTAATAGCCAGTTCTATAAGATCCAACAGAAAGGCACATATTCAGTGAGGATTCCCCATTTAGAGTCATGTTTCATAGACTGCCTGACAGCTTTTAGTCCATTTAAGAAGAATTGCATTGATTTCATTTCAGTCTAGTTACTTGATCAAAAAATCATGCCTCACAGAAGCATATTATATATTACTCCAACATGATGGCATTGATCAAACTGTATTTGTTATCTCTCAAACAAGAGAATAAAGAAAGGAATAAAAAGTCATGTTGATAAAATCTATTTTCCAAAAATCAGGGGTGACTAGACTTAAAGAATGATAGGAAGTTTAAATGTAGCCCAGTAGGAGATTTTCTTTTCCTTTTTCCAGGACTAGAGCCAAATTGATAGGCTTGCAATTATCCAGAAGATTCCTTTTAAAAGCACTGGTTATAAATTCCCAAGTTCTCTGTAATTTCTCACTGTTTCTAAGCATATTGAAAAATTCAAGGTTCATAACCTACACAAGTCTCCAGTGAGTTCTTTAAAAACTTCCGGATATTAGTTGTCAGGTCCAGATGTTCGAAGAAGCCTAACAGTAGGAGTCCACACAGCAGCAGAGCAACACAGCAAAGGTGGAAGAGGGTATTACATACTTCATGGTCGCCAATAACAGAGGTGCAGCAGCCTGACTTTAATAGACAAGTGAAGAAGAGAAGTAATTCAATGAATACTTTGTTCTATTTCTAATGGACATTTTTTCACCCAGCAATGGCCCATTCTTTTATTCAGACTACTTTTGTTCTTACCATGATTCTTTAAAATAAAATTAAAAAAAAAAAAAAGTCAAGAAAAATATTTCATCCATAATTCTATTTTCGATGGAGATTTGTGTGTGCTTTAGCAATTTCCTGAAGTCCTCAACTTTTATTTTATAAGACCTTCACGCCCCTAACTTCTCACTTGGGGATTTTCATAGTAATAATTCTTCTTCATTAGGTTTTCTTTGTCTGTTTGGTCATCAAGTTTAACATTCTTGGACAGAAAAAAAGAAAATGTTTTACCATCTTTTTTGTCTTGAAACTTGCTTCCAGCACTATGAAATTAGTCATTTTCATAAACAAGTGAGAATGGGGACCTGAATATAACCATTACATGAAAACAAAATAAAATCATTATCACTTATGCCTAATTAGCTACTTATTGGTGATTTTCATGTCACCCAGAGATACACTGTAGGAGAGGCAAAGCTGTGGTATTGCTCACTACAACTACCATGACACTCCATATGGAACTAGACTGTCAAGGAAATTCCTTATGTTCATCCACCAGAGTTCCCTTCTCTGCTGTTGAAAAATTCACCTGCAAGATGCTGCTGACCAAAGGCTTACGGCACAGATGGAGGCTTCTTACTGGCCAAGCCACCCAGCTCCTCAAAGAGTGGCAGCATGTACCAGATGGACTCCTGGCTCATGCTGCAGAACTTGCTACATGGCAGGTGTCTACAGATCATGCTTTTTAATGATCCTCCGCAATTCTGCCTGCGGCCTCTTTTCCAAGGAAAGTTAAGTAGATCCCTGATAAATCTAGGCATATTTTCTTGGCCCTCACCAGCTGAGGTACACATTAGACAGCAACTTGAAAGACACTTTCAAGATAAAATAAAGCATACATTATCACAAAACATAAATTGAAGATCAGGATACAAAATTCAATTAATATCATATGAAGTGCCAAGTGAGGAAAAGATATTTTTAACCAGTATGTGTAAGACTCTACAATGGAAGGGCTACATTTATTAGTGGTAGTTTATTTTTTATACTATGTCCCAGGACTATTCTTTCTGCTGTGCAAAGATCCAACCTGCCTTTTTGCTTTAGCAAAGAAAAGAGTTATTTGATAGATGTCAGTGGACTGTGTTTTCTGTCATTCTGCAACAGCTATTCTCTGAAGGCTTAAACTGATTGTTCTTTAACCATAATGTTGTTAAAGAAATGCCAGGAAGTTTATTCGTGGTTTATTAATACTGCAGAGAGGCCCCAAAGCAGCAAGAGAATGTCCAGACTTCCAAAAACCAGACTTGCCAACCATTCCTCTTGGCCAGCTTCCAATTAAAGGAAGAACATGACAGCCAAACTGCAGCTACAATGGCTTCAGAAACTGCTGAAAAAAAAAAAAGCAGAATGATCCCAGCCACAGAGCCCTACTTCAATTTTATACACACTAAAACAAAAACCAAAACTCCACTTGCATTTCATTTGTACCATCACATGAAGTCCAGGCTGGGTCTCTAAGAATGTTTCTTCCCAAAATGCTTTTTCAGAGTTCACGTTAGTGTTTTGAGACCAAAAGGCAAAGCCACTAACCCACTGCAGTATATTACTTCATCCTACCATATGTTTTTCCTGCAAAATATTAATAATTCTGTCATCTGGGTTCCTCTTATCTTTTTGATAAATGAGGCTATCGCCTCCCTACCTTATTAAAGCATTTATCCTCTCCTTTATATTTGCAACACTGGGAAACATATATCTGATATACCTAAAGATATTTCTGAATCTCTTCCATAAAAAAATATTTTGGAATGTCCAGCTGGACTCAGCTTTGTAGTTTCTGAGATCTCCTGAGTTGCTCTCTGACACAAGAATACCCATGTTTCCCCCTTCACGGCTGACCATCAGTATCCTTTTCAAGGTTTACACTTGCAGATTTATGTTGACATCTGGAATGTTATCAGCTGAAAAGTTTTGGTTTTCCCATGAAAAGTGGTGCAGCTTCTTCTGAAGGCACATTCTATTATTGAGCAGTCCCTGTTTTCTATGAAAATGAACAACCACAGGGTACATCAAAGTGCGCCACTATATTCCTAAACAGGCAGAGGCTCATGCCACCCATTTCAGGTGCAGACTCCAAAGTCATTGCAAGACTGTCCCTCCCCATAGTTCATAGAGCTAGAGGAAAGAGCATGGGACCTTCAACAGGACAGATGTGCCCACTTTCAAACATTCAGGACCAATTCTCTCTGGCTGCTTTTGCCACCAGGTAGAGCTTACTGTTACTTAAGTAAGCTTGCAGGTTACTCTTCCATATTCAGAGATGAAAGCAGAGACATTTCAGATGTGATTACCTGTCCCAGCTGCCTCAGCACTTCATAAAGGAAGGAATTTCCTTTAGTATAAACGTTGATTATAAAAGGGCAGTTGCACAATATTCTGTTGGATGTACACATTTGTCACTACTTGACATTCAGACAGCCTTTTTTGTTTTTCATAATATATGCAGTGTTATAAATAAAGAGTTTATTGTGGATCTGAGTCCTGTAAACATGAGGTGCTGATGTTTTTAGAGCATTCCAAAATGTGGAACTGCTTTATTGATGTCATATGATTTAAATCTAAAAATTAAGTATCAGTATTTCAGCTGTAATATTCTTTCTTCAAAGAAATAAAATTGATTCTATTAACTACTATCAACAAGCAAAAATCTTTAAGTCTGATAGGCAGAAGGCACTTTTTATGATGCACTGTTCCTCATCATTTCAGCATCAGAACATTTCCACAGAGCTGTCACAGGGGGACCTGAGCTAAGATCCCCAAGACTTATATTAAGCATCAGTTTGGACGTCAGAAGACAGCTATTCTTAGGTCTTCCTAATGAGGTCATGAAGAATTTTGTTTTCAAATGCAGTATTTCTGATTCCAAAATTATAATTGTGAAAATCTGATGTTTTCTGGAGTGCGTTATCCTTGTAGCTGTTAATCTAAGATATTCACCTACCAGTGTCTGAAGTTAGGCACTTAAAATCTATATTCAGTTATGTAAGACTGTAGGCTGCCAAGTGCTGGAAGATTTGCAGATATTTGCTATCATTCTGAAAAATTGGTTTATTCATTTAGAAGAGTATTTTAATATTTGGTTTCCATCCCTGCCACCTAGTAGTTCATAAATCACATTTTAACTCATATTTCTTAACATTTTTAAGGTGATGTCTGCCTTTGAACATGTATCCGGCTTTCTTGACATCCAAGATCAAACAATTGTTCAGCAATTTTGATGATTAGTTCACTGGAATTGGGATTTCACTTCAAGCCTTTACCTAATAAAACCAGGGGTAACATTCTAAGAGGTGATTTAGCATTTATAAAGTGGGCAACATCTGGAGGATTAACATCTGGTTTATTTATCCAGTGATGACTGAGACAGCTATAGCAGTCTTTCCATACTCCTCCTATAATGCACAGTTTTGTTTTTTGATGAAGTAGTAAATAGCCATCTCAAACAACAAAACATTACTTCATAGTGCTAAACACCATGTGCTATGTATTGTGTTTTCTTCATTCTACTCTTGTCTGTTATAAAAACATAAACTTAAAACATTTATTGCTGTGTTCAGAGTCCTTTCCTCTTTTTCATTAATTTTATCTGAAACTGGGAAGCTTTTCTTGAAGCAGTATTGTTTCTCCCTTGGAAAAAAAAAAAAAAAAAAAAGAAAGGCAAGAGAAGACGAAGTATTTGAAAGCCTCATGTCTGACAGAGTATCCCTAGTTACAAATATGTTATAATCTGTACACTTATCATTTTAGGTAGGAAGAACCAGATGATGGTGGAATTCAATTCAAGCTAAGGAAGCAGGAATAGGGCTTAGAAGAATGCTTACATCTGTCCCTAATTTGGTTGCACATAAACAGACAGTAACCTGCTTTATTGCCGAAGTCATATAAAGAAATTGGGCACCAAGCAGCACAGGTAATCTTGAACTGGAGAACCTCCAGCCTAATTAGACACAAATGCCCAGAAGACCTGAGACTGAAATATGGCATGTAGATTTTGAAATGTATGAAGAGACAGAACAGTCTCATTAGCAGCCATCCGGATGTTTGTTTAAGCCTCCAAAGTTCCCTTTTTTGACTGAGAGGAGTAAGCCATGTCTATGCCTAAGGCTAAGTACAAGGAAATGCATCCTGTTCCTTCTGGAATGGCCTCGATCTCCCAGCTTCCTCCCCAGGATGCTCCTCCTGGGCTTTGTGCAATTCATGGCCACTCTCTTTGCAAAGGCATCCTCACAGCTGATTTAATATCAATAATACTGGGAAAGACAAAACAGTATAAGTCATTGAAAAAATAAGACAAGCAATTCTGTGGAGAGTTTAAAGAGATATAAGTTCATTATTCATTATTTAGTAGATACATTTCTTAAGGAAGATAGCTATCGAGTTTTGCCAGAGCCATAAAAAAGTGATAATTTCCCTTATTTCAAACCTCTGAACTTATTTTATTTTTCTGGCATCAAACAAGTATTGTTGTCCACATTCTGATTATGAGCTTGTCTCTCTCTGATTACAAGCATGCATCTGCCCTGTACAGTGATGCAAAACTGTAAGTGAATTAAAGAAATAGGCAGAGGAGAAGCCTGTGAGAACTTTAAGGATGAATGGCTGTGGCAGAAAAGGCTACACATGACATAGAACTGACCTCCATGTTACAGATGTCAGGCACATTCAGGGACCGTCTATTTTTGGACACATAACAACTACGCATAACCAGAGGGTGTGATAGAAATGTTTTTATCAAGTTATCTCCCTCTCAGTTATTTGGAGAACAATGCAAGGTAACACATTATTTCCTTTTTGAATAGAGTTTTTACATTATCGGAACATATCACACTGGCCACAGAATTACAAACAACTTGTTTTAATAAAGGGAGCTTTGTGCTCTTTTTCTTTTGCTGCAAGCACAACACAAAGGAAACACAGGGGCACAGCAGAGTGGAGAGATCTTGTGTGCAATAAAAAATCATGGATAAAGCCTCCTGCTAATTGACATTCAAGGTCAATTTGTCTGGGATGCTGTGCCCTATTTGCAACTGTTGTATTAGTGCCTGAGGTCACCAATCAGCCCCATCTGCTTGATAAGGTTTATGGGAATACTATATGACATTTAATTTCAGCAGCAGGCATGACTGAAGCATTGCTCTTAAAAAAGAAACAGGTAAATCTTAGGTGGGAATAATTTCACAACTTTTCTTAAAGATTTTATGATGTTTCTAGTTTTTCGTAGTTTTTTTTTAAAAATAATAGGTACCAGGACATACATTGCTCTCTTTTGCCCTTTCCTGTGCTTTGGATTTGAGATTTAGGGAAAGAAAATAAAGCAGTAGAAAAGGAGTTACTTGGCCACAAAATGGCAAGTCTTACAGTGCTGCCCATCTCTGTCTGACCTCACCCAGCAGTGAATATCAGAGGTGATGCCTGGCACTGAGAGGCCGTTTCCTCTTGTGCTTTCCTGGTGTGATGGAGGCATCCCCTCTGGTAGGGGACCCGCAACCCGCCGAGGGAACAGAGCTTTGGACTGCGGGCATGTCTGTCTATGGGCAGACAGACATGAGCTCACTGCCCATGCAGGAGCCAGCTCTGGTCCAGGAGCCACACAGCCTCATTCATTAGAGCAAAAACATGCCCAACCTGATGCGTCTGTGCCCAGCAGAAGCAGAGATTACCCAGGAACAGGCATTCACACGTATATGCCTGGGACACTGTGCAGAAAGCCTGGTGGGTGCTGAGATGGAGCACATGGACCAGACACCCTGGCAGGCAGGGTGCTGAGCATTCCCGTGTTGTCCATGGGAAAAAAGCACCAGCAAGGCCAGTGACCTGCCAGCCTTCATTAAGGATAAATATAAACAAGTAAATAAAAAGAGGGAAGCAGGCAAGCCTTTTCTGGCTGAAGCAGATGAGAGGGGAGATGCAGCCTTGCTGGGTCCCATCCCATGAAAAAGCTCCGAGGACATGCACAGGGAGGGTGGCTGGGTGGTGATGGGGGCAGCAGGCTCCTATCATCACCGCACAAAGCTGCCAGGCACAAGGAGGTGGTGAAGCCAAGTAGGGTGGTAGAAGCTGGGAGAGGAGAAGCCTAATCGGCCAAAGCAGAGTGGTGGGGGGCAGTAAGGGAAGAAGCCTGCCACCCCCACCACCCCCCCCGGGGAAACGAGGCCCTTCTCTGGCTGAGGAGCTGCACCCTGACCGCTTGTCCTCTGGTCGTGGTGAGCCCCTTTACCATAACCGAGAGCTGTCCCGGCTCCCCTCCACCTTCCGCGGCAGGCCCCCCCCTTACCTTCCGGCCGCGGGTGGGGCTGCACCAGCCCCCAGCTCCTGCTTGCAGGGGGCGGCGGGCCGGGCCGGGCCTGGCCTGGGTGTCCCCGGCCTACGCTGCGCGGCGCGGTGTTCCCGGGGCCGCCAGCGGCTGGGCGCGTAGCGGGGAAACCCCGGCAGTCCCGGCCGGCGCGGCAGGCGCCTACCTGTTGCCAGGGAAACCCTGGTGTCTCCTCAGCCGCGGCCTTCCACGGCGGGCTGCGGGCGGCCGTCGCTCAGCTCCGCTCCGCTTCTCTCCCGCAGCAGCGGCGGGAGCAGCTGTGGGGCAGCGGCAGAGGGGTCGGCGGGGGGGGACGGGGACGGGGACGGGGGGACGGGGACGACGACGGTGTTTTCGGGTCCCGGGGACGGGGTGCGGGGGTGAGAATTTAGCAAGCATCTTTTCTCTATGAGGGGTTGGGGATGGGGTCTTTGGGTATATTTCTCCCCGTTTGGGGCACATTGAACCGCGTTCATTTATTAAGCTGGAGACGGTTTCAAAACCGTTAATCGTTATTCGGGTAGAAACTGGCAGCCCCTGCAGCCAGCGCTGCACGGGGAGCCGAGAGAATGCTGTATCCGGGCTGTGCTATGCAGGGCTCTGCCAAGCAGGTGGAAGAACCATGAGCAGGTTTTACTGGAACAAATGGGTAACACTGCCTCGTGTTGTGTAGGGATTTTCCTTGTTTGATAATAAAGGCTTTCAGGCAATGGATGGCGGTAGCATCTCATTGACTAATTCAGTTGCAGTTCTCCTGTCTATAGGATAAGGGCACACTGGTGTCAGGGAAAGATTGCAGGAGAAATAACAACGCAGCTCAAAAATCGCCTCCACTCCCTTTAGCTACACAACTACTTACCTTAGAGTTAACAACTAATCAATTACAGGAACTGGACAGAGGCTCTGTGTTAAGGTAACTGAGGCAAGTGCCAGTGCCCGCTCACCTTAGCACAAATCTCTTTGTGCCAGCCCTGGCTGGCTTTGAATAAAGCCTTCTTGGTTGCAGCAGAAAGGGTGGGTATCTCTGTCTGGATCCTCGTGGGATTGCTTTATTTCCCAAATCCAGTAGTACTATGGCTGTAAACTAAAATAGTGTCTTACAATAAAATTAATGTGTGCCCACTCCTGTATATCACTGGGCTCGAGTCTGTGCTGAAACTCCAGCCCAATTTTATCCCAACACAAAAACTGCTCACAGAGGAGCAACCACTGTTAGCTTGGAGGGGAAAAAATGCAGTAAAATTAGAAGAGATAAAGATGACACTTTGTCTCCAGATATTCTCTCGCAGCAGTTGCTATGGTTTTGCACATTCTGAGGTTGTTTTGCGTCATCAGCTTTAAAAACTGTCATAAAACACCAAAGCCATCAGCTGAAGGGAATCTAGTACATGTGCGGAGGGCTTGTTCCAGGCTTTCTGTGTCAAGATATGCCACAGGTAGTATTTTTTATAGTCTATTAGATCTTCAGGCTACCTGTGCACTGACCTGCAAGGCAGGTTCTTTCCCTTGTTTCAGCAGTACTAAAAGCTCACTCATGACTGAGAAAGACATGTGCTATGTGTTGCACATGCATTGATAAATTCACTTTTAATTCATTTTCCCTTATGAAATTTTCCTTTCTCTTTTTTGCATAATTATTTCAATTGTCTCACATACAGCATGAGAGATGAATATTCAATTTAACAAGTACCCTTGAGAAGCCAAAGTTTCTTTCACTGAGTTTGGGGGCAGTTATAACCCATCCTCTTCAAGCATTCAAGTTATTGTGCCAAAGAGGGGAGCTTTTATACTGTTGTCATGATTACCTTTCCAGAACATAAGACTGACAGTCTTCTCTCTTGTGATTCACTACCTGTTGTTGTTTCTTCACAGGGTTAAAAAAAAAAAAAAAAAGAGAGAGAAAGAGAAAAAAAAAGGAAAAAAAAAGAAAGAGCTCAAAGTTTTCTTCTAGTTCAGTGAATTTGTAATGGATGCTGTCCATTTGTGGCAATACCTGACATAGCTTAATTCTGAAAAATACAAAGGACATGAGGAACTTTGGATATTTTCTCTAAAACTTATTTGACTATAACTCTTCTAAAGTTCATGAACCTTGAGGTATTCATGAAATGCCAGAGATGTGGTGCATTTTTAAGGTCCCAGTTTGTCACCTTGCATGAACTCACTATATAAGGCCAGAAGTAAAATGAAGATTAAAGTGGGGAGGAAGAGAATTAATGGTAGTTTTTTAAGACACCAGTTTTCTGTGGCTGGCATTCAGATGACAGGTGACCTTATAAAAGCTACCAGTGATAAAGATTTGTACCTGCCATTTTGGCTCACATACAACAAAAGTACCAAGTCTGAAGTATTTTTAATCAAGATACCTGCAGAACATCACAAGATTTAGATATTTTAGTTGTTTATCTCATGCACTCTTTCATCTTTCCCCTACAAAAAGGATTCAATTTCCTGAATCAAAGCAAAGAAACTATGTTGAATTTTATCAAAAGGGTTATATGCAAAAACTATGTTCTACTTCACTGGAAACCAGTGGCATTGGTCCAGTAACTAACATATGCTACAGCGACGGTAACGCCACATGGGAGTGTTGGGCTGGGCTGCAGGGTGAACGGAAATGCTAAGCAAAGTACACAGTAGAGAGAGCTATTCCAGGTTTATCTTCACAGTGCTATTTTTAAGTTTTGAGATGAAATTTGAATGGCTGAACTCAATGCAGCCTTTCTTTCCATAGCTTTAGAAATTGGAGCAGCACAAGCACATGGAAAATATTTCCCAGTTACAGTGTGAAGAAACTAAGCAGGAGGGACTTTTCCAAATTGCCATCTGCCTAAGGGAAGGGACAGCATAGAGCTGCACTATTCCTGGACTAAAGAAAGGACCAGCTAGTTACCAGGTCTTCCTTGTTCTCCGCAGAAAGTTATCACAGCCCACCTCAGGTGGTTTGCTCCTGCACTGCCTTGTTCATGCTACCAGTGGCTTTAGTAAAGACATAAGCAAATTTCTGCAGGTGTCCCTGCCTCAAAGTTTCTTTATTTCAATTGCACCAATTTTGGGGTGGGAAACAACAACAAAAAACAGGACCAAAAATGTTAAACAAAGGAAAAAGAGAAGGTAGGATGAGATTATATTTCGCTTTTTACACCTATGATATTGTCTTAACTTTCATCCTCCGAAGATAGTCACAGCCAGCCCATCATATTTTGTATTGCTTACCATGAAGGCAGGTCCTTCAAGTAATGGGGTAGTTACTTGAAGGTACTTACCTAACTATCAGATAGTTAGGATGAATGTCAGGACTGAATTACAGTAAAACTAGACTGAATATCTATTCTTCACATGAAGGCAGTTGTAAAAATTACTTGGCCACTTAGCAATAGAACTGGATCATCAGAGAGAGTAAACTCCTGCAGCCTCTTCTCTCGAATGAATTGTCTGTCTATAATGATCAGTTCACAGAGCAAACCCCTAAGATGGCAAAAGGGAAAGGCTGTTCAGTTACTCAGTGTAACCTCTACAACAAGCTCTGTCCCTGACCACAGGTGTAAAATAACAGAGCACCTCATTCAAAACCATCTGCAGAGCTGCTAAGCTAGTTGTAAATAGATTACAAGATAAACCTGTAATTAAAACTGCTGCCAATTATTAGCTGTTCTTAGGGAAAGTGAAGGTGTAGGAAAGCCAAGAAAAGTTCATTTCATCTTCATTTTGCCTCCTTCAGGCTCTGAGCTGCTTTTATCCTAGAAGTGGTCATGTCCTAGAGGCTGTTGCAGTTTCTAATCGTGTTAAGTTGGGTTAGCAGACATGGAAAGCTAAACTATTCCAGTGAAGGCCTTTCCTCTTCATCATGTTCCTCACACTATCTGGCTTCTATGGGGACAGAGAATGGTCCTGCAGACCCACATCAGCAGGATTCCACTTTGCCATAGAGCAGAAACTGGAAGGCAGCTAGTTACACCAGCATTACTCTCATTCCCTGCTGTTAGAGAGGCATGAAGTGCTCATGGGGAAGCTGAGCACTGGGTCTGACACTTACAAACTAAGAGCAAAGCTAGCTCAACATCTACAAGCATAAAACTTTCATTCACAGTTTCTAAATGTTCTGCTTCACAGAAGTCTGAAGCTCCCAGTAGTCCCCGAGGAACTTACCTGGGATCAGAAATGATTTTATCTAGCACAGAAGACATATGGATGCTACCATGACCAGGTTTGGAAAGTTCCCAGAGGTGGATAGCCCACTGGAAAATATTACCATTATGTTGGGTTTGCTTCTGTGCTATATGGATGTATAATTTAAGACAGTGGGATGAAACATAGCACACAGCATTCCAGTTACTTTATTCCTAGCTGAATAATTACAGTCAGTCAGTCATTTTATAGCTGTATATAGCAGTTAATCCATATTGCAATAATTCATGTACCATGTTATACTGCTGCACAGAGCCTCTGCCAGTTTCAGATCAGTCACCTCTGTCAAATCCCATAGGATATGAGGGCTTGTACAGCCTAGCCAAATAATTTTCCACCCTGGATGGCCACATATTATGTAGCTTTCATTACCAGTCAGGTGCCAGGGGAAGAGCAACTGATGTGGAGAAAGGCTGTTGGAAATGGTATTCTTCCCTATGTCATACCAGCTGTTGAACTTATGCTCTATTGTTATCTGAATCTGCACTTGCAGCGGCTGCCTGGACAGCCTCTTATTTTAATTGCAATTACTTTCAATGACACTAAACTGGGGGAGGGGACTTGGAGTTAAAGCATCATATTTAATGTTTATAGAAATGATAATCATGCTGAGAGCACAGATTAACAGAGCTCTCATAATGATGGCAGTGAAGGCAGAAGATAGAGCTTTCATTTCTGCAAAGCATCAAGCAAACCTTTCTTTATTGCCATCACAATCTGCTGCTGGCTCTAACTATTTATGTTTAATTTTATGTATTTATTATGAGTTTGTCCCCTGCTGCCAAGGAGACAGTCTTCTGCTCCTTACCTTTCAGGAATGTATTAATCCTGGTCATCAGTTAAGGTATGCAGAGGGAACAGAGCAAGGGGAGCACAAGCTGCAGCAACATAGCGCAGTGTAAAACCTTGGAACAAACTGAATGAGGTAGAGGAGCTGGAACCTAGGAACCATTCTGAATCGTGAGAATTACAAGCAATGGGAAAGAGGAGAACCCAAAATTACATGCCTAGGTAGTAACAGACTTTTTTTCTGTTCTCCAAGTGGAAACTTAACTAATGCATTAGTTAACTAACTTAATTAAACTTAGCTAACTGAAGTTGGAATTTTGAAACAACAAAATCCAAGTTGTTGCAGAGTTATTTCTCCTTTCTGCTGCTGGCTCCAAAAAGCAGGTGTCATCATGGGTTGTTGGCTGCCTCCTTGTGTGCACAGGGAACACTGATTAGAACTGCGTGAAAAGCCTGATGAAGATACCAAGTGCTGGCACGTGACAGTTTGCCTAACAGAAAAGCAGTGGGGTAAATAAGCAATGTCACCCATCAAGAAACATCTCTTTGTGCTTTAGGTTAGCACAAGGAGAACTTGATCTGTTAAACCTTACTTTTTTTTCCTATGTGCTTAGTCGCCAAATTTGCTCTAATACCCCTGGCTGTATGACTGATCATGCCTGTTAGCAATTTTCACCCTGGTGATGAATCTAAGTAAAGTTACATTCATCTCAGTCATTACAAACCCCAAACCACTGAAAGAAGAGACAAAAGGAATCCTAAGTTCTGAAATCTCCTATTCCTGTCCGATCTGACTTTTATCTTAAGGCCCTATGAATGCCTTAACTTTATAATGATTTTTAAGGATGTGATAATTTAATCGTTGACTTGCTGGCTTTTCATACGGACATCAATCATCAAATCAGTTGTTTTGGGAAATGAATTGATCAGGTGCATGAACAAGCTCTAGTAACTCAATTGAAATGTCTCCCCCACTCCATACCTCCTCTCCACAGCCTCCATAGCAACCATGTTTGCAGAGGTTCTCAAAAATTCAGTCTTCAGGGAAAACTAAACCCCTACATGTACACTGAAATTCTGAAACAAGAAAAACAGCAAATTCAGTCTCAGGAGAAAACATCACAAAATCTGAACTTCCAAGTCACACATCAACTCTAATTTTACAGATGATAACCAGTTTTCAACATCAGTATAGAATTGTCATGCTTTTAGAAACTAGAAAAGAGGGAGGGCATTCCAGTGCAGCTCCACTGAAACCTGTGTCTAATAATTTAAAGTAATTTATAATCCATAAAGCACTCACAGCAAGGCCAGTATCACAACATCTACCGATATTTATGAGTTTGCTGGGCCCAGTTCTATTAATATGAATATTATGTAGATTATTAATGAGATTAAAAAATGTTTATTGTTCATCATTCATTTAAAATACTAAGAGAGCTCTCTGCAACCTACTGACCCCTGGAGTTATGGTTTATGTTATCGACAGATTTTGCTTCGTTTGCACAGAATGGGTCAAATCATAAGTGGTTTATCGTGCTCTTTAGCATACAGCTATGACATAAATAAGCAGAAAAGACAGATGCTATGCAAGTCAGCAGTTTACTGATTTGACATTGACTGCATTTGAAAGGTTAACGCAACTTCTGACCTGAACAAAAAGAAATTGGGGGCTACTGTGTTCCCACTGAACCAGACAAGTGTTTGTGCTTGGAAGGAGAAAAGACACTGCTGTCACACAAGCACCTGCATTATAGCAGAGATGAAACCCAAAGGGTAAATACAAAATTCTCTGCATTCTGAGGCAGCGTTTATGCAAAATGTACATATGTAGAAGTATTTCACGAACAATGTTTTATTGCCTTTCAGTTAAGAAAAAATGTAGTGGTTACAGAAAAGCAAGCTTCAAACTGTCTTTAAAAATAGCCTACAGTATCAAACCTAAATTAGTAAATCTGCAGGTACTCTGTAATATCCTCCTGAATCTAAATGTGCATTATAAAAGGTCTTTTCTACACAGGCAATGAGGAACCTGATTTGGAGTAAAGTGCTTAGACCATGCAAAGAGGAGATGCATTTAAAACCAGGTCTCTCTATACCATGTAAATAATAGCAAGCACATCACCAAAGCATTAGGCAAAGCCAACGTGAAAGCATACTTCCTGCATTTATCTTCTCTCTTTTTAAAAGTACAGCAGCAATACTTAGACTTTCTTTTGCTAGATTGTCATTCCTGGTATTGTACACTGTCCAGTCCCTCTGCTGGCATTCTGTTTTGCATCTCTCTAGATCCAAACCACAGTGGCAGCAGCATTACCCTTATGATATAGTGCTGCAATATACAGCTGTGTATTATTACAACTGTGTATCATTAGCGGGAAATCATTTTAATGCTCTTGTAAACACCACCGGAGAGCCAGGAGACTATTTGTATTTCTTTTACTGTCACAGACTAAAGTGCCTTCTTCCAACCCTGTCCATCAAATTAAGTGTTGGACCAGGTGCAAAGTACTCTAAACCTGCCAACTCCAAGCTGTCTTGAACTTTAGTAGAGCAAGGCAACCACCTTCTACTTAAGACATTGTAAGCATATCTGAGCAAATAGGGGCACTGATAAGGTGCCCTTTCTCCATCACTCAGAAGTCTGCGGTGCTCATGCTGGAAGCATGGCACTTTCCTCCAAAAGGCTTTGTCACAGGTTTTATGCTTCTTATTGTCAGAACATTTCACACAGCTCATTTTCCCCACATAAAGAAAATGTTGGTGTATAAAATATTGGATAATCTTCTTACATAAAACATCTTACATTTTTATGTAAAAATACTGAACTTATTTAGTTCAAAAATCTTGCCTTCTAAGGTAGCCCTTGTTGTTGAGAATGAGAAATCTCAGCAGAGCTTTGAGAGATTTTCTGACCCAATCACTGGGAGCCACAGTATCATTTTTAGGAAACAGTAGTCTCTTTCTTTTGGAAAGATGAAATATTCAGTTCATCCCACCACCGTTAGCTATAAAAAAACCAAAACTG